GATTGGTGTTATGCTTTTGAGAAATCCTTTCACTACATCTGTACAAAAATTTCATTTCAATAAAATCTGTACAACCAATATGACAAGCCTTTAAAGATGGGTGGGGTCGAAAAAAGAACATTTCGTTAGAGCACTGATCACAGAAACAACGGGAAATGTCACACCACACGTCACAAAGTCAAGTCAGTAGCGGGTATGTCCACCGTGAACATCAATACATGCCAGAACACGCCTACGGACTGATGCCGTCAAACGTATGATGACGTTGGGAGTGATGCGTTGCCATTCCTCGAGGAGACATCGTTCCAAGTCCTGGACGTTGACTGGAGGCACACGGCGACGTCGGATTTGCCGATCGAGGTGGTCCCATAAGTGCTCGATGGGATTCATGTCCGGTGAACATGCGGGCCATGGCAAAACCTGTACGTTGGCGTTGGCAAGGAAGTTCTGTGTCAATCTTGCTGTGTGTGGCCTTGCATTGTCATGTTGGAAAATGAGTCCACGAGTAATAATAGGGCACCACAACAGGCCGTAGGATGTCATCAATATAACGCTGTGCATTCAGGTTTCCACGAATTACGACAAGCCTCGTTTTGACGTCACCACATATGCCACCCCAAACCATTAACCCTCCACCTCCAAACAGCCGGACCTGTTGGATACAGTTAGGCGCCAAACGTTCACCAAATCGTCGGTATACAAGCTGCCGTCCATCGTTTTTGAAGATGAGGAATCTGCTCTCATCAGAGAACATAACACGTGCCCAGTCCCGCCGTTGCCAACGTCGAACTCGCCTGACCCAGATCAGTCTGTTGTTCCGGTGTCGAGGCGTCAGGAGCGGTCTGCGGTAGGGATGACGTGGCCGGATACCATACTGCCGTAGTCTCCTGTAGACGGTCTGTCGACTGATCCTGTGTCCCAGTGCTGTAGCCGCCGTGGACGTCGCTGTTACGGTGCGTTTCCTCAGGTGTAATACCCGAATGTAACGATCTTCACGGGTCGTGGTTACTCGTGGTCTTCCACTCCTAGGCCTATCTGACGTCTGACCTGTCTGACGTAACCGCTGCATCAACCTGGTGATAGTGATGCGTGCGCAGCCCAACCTTCTGGCGACGTCGACGTGTGTCGCTCCTTGTTGGACCATTCCAACGGCTCTCTCTCTCTCGATGGCTGTCAAACGTGGCATATCTTGTGTTCTTTTTGTTGCTGTGATATCAACGTGTCTGATCAGCCGTTTTATACAGTTTTTATGCACGTGCAGAACATGCTAGAGAGGGAAATGTCACTTTCATGAAATTTACGTATTTTCCCGGAAGTGATCACGTGTTCCCGGTATTTTTATCGACTATGCTGTGTTTGGGATGTGCAATACGAATTGGCATGTTTTCATATTAGACAATTCACTTAGTAAAAAACAATTTTGAAAATAAGTCGGTATCGTTTCTTTTGGACAATAGTTTATTTTGAAAATTTTAATGTTTTATACAAATAAAAAAATTATTTTCTGAATTAAATGTATTTGTGTATTAGCACAGTATTTGAACTCACTTCACAAGAGATGGGAATCGACAACAAGAATATTCTAAGACAGATTTTTAGACAGCAGTAGCAGTGAATTTAGATTCTTTTCATTCATTTACACATCCAATCACAGTTGCATGAAAGGGGTTGTAAAGAGGTAATCATGTAAAAGGGAGATAATATATATTATTATTATTATGTTATTGTGGTCTAGGTTGGTTACGAAATCTATTGCAGGACCTGCGTCATCCTTTTTCATTGCACATATTTCCTGTGCCTTAAATTTCCTATCTTCACAATGTCGACTTCGTACTTATGTCTTCACTGCAATAGCCACTATTCTTGTATCAAAGAAGGCAGAGATTTGATTGTATTGTATTGCCAGTGAATACTGTTAATCAGAAATGAAATGAATGGAGTTTTACGTCCTACTTTTCTGCACTTTGTGGGCTAATGAAGACGGCCTGTTAATCAGAGCCCTTGACAAATGCTGAAGACATTAAATGGCTTAGTGTTAAGACTTTGTGGAGGCCTCTGATTGATTGTATTCTCTAGCGTATAATCAAATCAAATCGCTTATTTACAAACTTCGAGACAAGAATATAGGTTATTGTAGTAGGTATAAGTAAGAAGTTTGTAATATCTTGACCATTGTAAAGATGTAAATTTCCAGGCTGGTAAGTCTTTAGTTAGGAAAAATACAGTCTTGTATAAATCATTGTGGACTGCTGTCCGCACACATTTATAGAGAAGCAATTGAGTGTAAAATAAAATAAATAAACAAACAAAATATCATATGAAGTTTATTTCTTAAAAAACAAACAAATCAATAAATAATTAGAATAATAAATATTTTATATCACAATTAAATTATAAATAGCCATGGTGAAATTCTCATTTTTTTATGATTTAAAAATTAAAAATCAGCAGTTTTGATGAGCACTTTTAAAAATTAATTATTGAAACTTTGTGGTAGGAATGTCAAGGTCACAAATGAACAGACCTGCTTCATAAAATAAGGTGAAGTAACTTGTGAAAAGAGAAAAAAATTGAAACATAACATCAATTGTATAATTTTTTCTAATGCTGTATGGCTTGGGACTGATTCAAGGAAACACATACATTTTGACATACTACCTTCACTAAAGATAAAATTAAGCTAAAAAATATAAAATTTCTCAGTTTTAAAACATCGAGTTATTCAATATATCTTAGACAAATTATAAATATCACAGTAAGAGGAGGATTTATATATAATCTTTTCATTTATTTACACATCCAAACACAGTTGTATTAAAGGGATTTTAAAGAGGTCATCTTGTAAAGGGAGATAATATATATTATGTTATTGTGGTGTGTTGGTTGGTTGGTTACGAATTCTCTTGCAGGAGCTGTGCCATTTCTGGTTAGCTCTTTCTGGAATTATAGAAATCACATTGGACAAGGAATTGGAATGTCCCAAATAAAAGTCAAAGGTGTCCCCGATACACATAAAAAAGCAAAAACCTCTTTACAATCCATTACAAAAGCAGTTACAAAAGGGACTGGATATCCTTTTTTTTTTATCATCAGTAACGATAGACAAACTGGATGTTCTTTCTTATCTTTTTACATTCAGTCACGATTGATTATCGCTTACCTCAAAAGTGACTTTTTGCAAAATGGCATGCTCAATATTTGAAAGAGTAATATAATGTTAATACCATTAAATACAAAATATAGAAATCACAAGAAATAACCTAATAAACTCTTTGACCTGAAAGTCAATTTGGCATCAAAACTGCAGAGGTGCATCAGATATGAACAAATACAGAAAAGCTTCACTAATAGTTTATATTTTCCTTAAATATTTGAATATATTAGACCATGTTTGCCTGATAGAAAGTTTATAAGACTCGGGGTAAAACAAGTTTTGCTCCTTTAATAGGAGACGACACAGCTGTTGTGAGTAGTTGTATATTGTCTTGTACATAGTTTACTGGTTGTCCACGGTAACGGGGATCAGGATGGGGGCCTGCCATTGGTCGAGATGATGTACCTCTAGGTGGAGAATATTCAGGCAAAACTCCACGAATGTTGTAACTCCACTGCATATCAGACGTCTGAAGGAATAAAAATAAAAGACTTATTACAAACATCATTACAATAAGGTTTTATGTCCTTCAAGTATTCTTATTTATAGTTCCTAGCATCATAGAACTGTATACAGTTCTATGCTAGCATGCATGACCTCAAGATTAGTGAGAACGTCTCTTGATAATGTAAGTAAAGAATGAAAATAAAAGATTTATCACAGCCATCATTACAATTAGGTTTATATCTCTGTATGGCTCACATTTGATCACACTTCTCTTTATGACAAGGAAATACTGTCAAATTTCATCCCTGTGTATGTTTATACAGTCTATAGCATACAAGACCTCAAGAAATGGAAGCAATCAGAACATGCTCAAATATAATAATCTAAATCTGATGAGAGCATTGAATACAGATAAAGGTTGGGCCCAGAGCTGCTCATTCCATCTTTGCTATCAAACACAATTTTGTTGTAAAGTAGCTAGTAACTATACCTGTATGACTAATTTTGCTGTGTAAACTTTGCCATACACTGCTGGTAGAAAATTAATCACAAAATGAGTTCCGTCTGTATCGGAGGGTAAGAGCTCTCCTCCCTCCGGAGATACAGTTATCTCTGGGTCACTTCCTGCAGTGAAATACGCCGTGTATGGAACTGGCTCTCTGAAATGGAAAGATTTTCATGAAATTTGGCATTGTATGGTTATACTTGGAACTTAACATTACTACTTATTCTATACATAAACTATTGTATCATTCAACAGAATAGAAAAGATTTTCCTATTCATACTGTTGAAGGATTATTAATGCAGATGCAAATAACCTTACAAGCATTGGTTTATTATGTCGTCCAAGTCAGCCAGTTCCATCTGATTGGTCAATCACTTAAATCAATTTTAAAACTAATGAAACAGTGTTTTTTACACGGCCATTCTCAACTCCAGTTAAAAAACATCTTACTCTCTGCTACTTACAATATTTATTATAAAATATCTAATTCACTTACGTAGTTCGACTGGAGAGTCTAAAACCCACACTAGAAGGTTTATTTAATCCTGTAGCCTCAATCTGAATAGTGTCGTCTGTTGGTGGTTCTGTAGATTTGAATTTGAGCGGGAATTTCCATAAACCACCAGTTGCTGCTTGAACATGAAGCTGAACATCACAGCTGTGAGATATGAAAATAAATGTAAATTTACTTCCCAATTGCTTAAACTAATCATCATACAAAATATCATTAAACAAAAATAAAATGGAGATTTCCTTCCAATATGATTAAAATAATTTATGATCATAATGATAATTATCCTTCAACAAGAATGACTCTTTAAAGATCTAAGAAGAATGAAAAACACATATTTCAATATTATTATAAAGCTGTAAGATAGGAAAAAGCAAACAATGATTTAGTACATCTTAACCCTACTGGCCACCAGCGGTTACTAAGTGATGTCACACAATGTCATACACTTTAACTTATATTACCTGGAGTTCAGGGTATACGTTTTTTTATATTCACAAATATTATGCAATATATACCCAGACAGCTTGTATAGCAACCCTTACTAAGTGACATCACAATGTCAAGTCATATGCTTTAAGTTATATTACTTGAAGCTCAAGGTATATGGTAAAGTCATAAACACTTAGTTTTAATAGAATTGCTAGAACCACAGACGTCTGATTGAAAATTGGAATGGCACAAATTGATGCTATCATTGTCCCCGATACACATACAAAATTTAGAAAACCTTTTTACAATTTCTTTAAGATATCACATTATGTCTTCACATACACTGTACAATAAAATTCATAAAAAAAATAATCATGGATGGTGATTGAGACCATGTTTTCATTCTGAAAGCATAAAGATTCAAAGAGTATAACCTTCTTAAACATGCCAAAAACAAAGAAGAATATCTACTCACTTCAGAGCTTTGAATGGATTAAAAATAACATTGAAGACTAGAACAACCAGTCCTGTCTCTTTATCACGATGTTGACGTACCAGACTTAAATCTACTGAAGCTTTTAGAGCTTTGGCATCAGATGAATCACCAAACTTTATTTCATACATAAATTCATTGGTGACTGCCAGAGCTGAAGAGACACAACAAATTCAATCATTTTACCGTTCTTTGGAATAGACTGAAAGTCCAGACAGGGTGGACACTAGAAAGAACTATTTATGGCATCAGAATTTCATACACTAAGAGAGTTTTGAACCCAGACCAAGTCAAAAGAGCAAAATTCAATTTGCTTTTCAACTCAATACTGTTTTTAATTCAGGGCCATCATATGTGAAGCATAAATTCAGATTTTGAGGCATCGTAATCCAAATCAAATATCACTGTTTTCAGAATTTAGAGTATTTTGGATTTTTTGTTGATGCATCACTGATAATTGTTGATAAATGACATGACAAAACTATTAAATGGATTTAAGAGGTTTTCTGGATAATGTATAAATATTTGGTACACTTAGAGGCCTACTATCTTTTTTTACCATTCACCTGGAAGTGATGTCATAATCATATTTGGATCTACAGCAGTCCCAAAAGCTCAAATAGAAGCTGTAAGTGTGCATGTTATATGAAATATGCTAATGAAATATAAAGTCATCAATCACTGTTGGGATTATCCCATAAAACTTGAATATCAAACTTACTTTCACCAACTACAATGCCATCTGGAATAGTAGGTTCTTTATTCTTAGGAGTTATTGCCCTTGTTTTCATGCGTCTGTTAGGACCAGCAGAACTAGGAGCCACTCCAGCTAGAGTGACTTCTAATCTCTGCTGAATTTTTTCCCGTGCTCGACACTCTACTAGCGGAGCCAGACTGTCCCGGACTGGGCGAGACTCAGGGATTCCGTGAATCGGGAAATACCATTTAATGACATGAAGATCTTCTCCACTCTGTTTCTCAGGAACTCTGAAAACAGAGAATAGTATAATATTATAATGGCTGATTTTCAAAATGAAATGGGCAAAACAGGCAATATCACATTTGATAATTGATTTTTATTTGGTGTCATATACTGTCATATAGTTGTTTTTATTTATTTTTTAAACATTTTCAATCATACAAATATTTCAAGAAATACAAGCTGGGATTGTCGATATATTATAGATTTTGGAGTCTACATTACTTATACCGCCATTTCATTTCTATCAGGCACGTAGCTAGCCAAGGGTCTCAGGGGGGTGCTTTTTTCAAGAGGGGCTCAACTATAGCGACTCAACAAGTCATTCAAGTCATCTAAATGTTTCCCGGGGGGCAAAATTTTCTTAGGGGGGCCTGGACCCCCTCTAGCTACAGGCCTGGTTCCTATTCTAAAACATTTTACATTATCCAAGAAATCTAAACTGGGATTGTCATAGCATATATACTACTACCGTTTTCTATTCCAAGCAATCAAAAGCATCACAAATTAAGAAATCCAAACCGTCTTACCCTGACTCGGATTTGGGAACATAATTCCATTTCTCTCCATCATCTCTACGAACCACAACCGTACATAATGACTGATATTTCTTCATTTCACCAGGAGCAAAGCTGATTGGGATATCTAACGTTGCTTTCGGTGGCAAACGTAATCCAGTATTGTGCTTCAGTAACAAACAAAAGGGTGAATTTTTTCCATCATCTTTATTTTCATCTTCATCTGTTATAAAAATAAAATGGTTTTATCAGGGAATTGATAATGGTAAAAAAAAGTATTACATTCTACTCTATTGAACCTAATTGGGCAAATGAAGAAAGGCAACACCATGCAGTGGGCAATGAGAGAAATTTTGCAGCATTTGTCTACACTTTTTCAAACAAATTTCACCTCTACCCCACGGTAACTTTTTTTGAAAGAATAAGCGACCAGAAATTTAACAAACTAAAAGAAAATCCAACTCACCAGTCAGTATGACATCAGCTAGTACTGTTTGATCCATGGGGTTACGGAATGGTATGATGAGGGTGGTATTAGAACCAGCGGCTGTATAGACACTGACAGGATCCTGGGGGGAGGGGATTAATCCTATACCTGAAGCTTCAAACACCCACTCTCCAAACTACAAATATGAAAATTATTAGCCATTTAAAGAGTTCACTTGATTCATGATTTCTGTTATTGAATCTTTTAGAGAGTCCATAGCATTTTCAGAGAGTTCACATAGAAATATTTCAAGTTTCGAAATCTTATTTTTAGCCATGCATCACTTTCAGAGAGTTGACATAGCTTATATCTAGCCATGCATCACTTTCAGAGAGTTGACATAGCTTATATCTAGCCATGCATCACTTTCATAGAGTTGACATAGCATATATCTAGCCATGCATCACTTTCAGAGAGTTGACATAGCTTATATCTAGCCATGCATCACTTTCAGAGAGTTGACATAGCTTATATCTAGCCATGCATTACTTTCAGAGAGTTGACATAGCTTATATCTAGCCATGCATTACTTTCAGAGAGTTGACATAGAATATGTTTTGAATTCATGAATATTTTGGAGAGTCTCTAGAGCTAATAATAAATATTTTTTCCACCAAACACCAAAAGTAAATGGTATTTCTAACGTACCTGTTTGCTAGTAAAGGAAACCTTAGTGGTATGAGATCCATTGCCTAAAGTTGATGGCATAAAATGAAGAGGAACCTCTATTTTAGAATAAGACGGCAAGTTGATTGGTTGTTCATTATCAACTTCCAATGAGAAATTATTGGTGTTTGATATAAAGGGAATTAACTCTAAGGATTCCTTAGTGGGATTATCCAAACTGATCATCAATTTTGTCCATCTAGAAAAAAAATTAAAATAATATAATATCATAGTGATTCTAGATTTTGTATAGTTTACATCCTTGAATATGTATGTAAACTTGAACCTAGGCATTGAATTACATTTTTTAGAGAGACAGTTGAGCTATAATCCCTATTGATAAGAACTCAGTTACAGACACAGCACTGAAATAACATATTTGGATCGCCAGTTCTAGAACAGAAGGTAAATGCTCCGATACAGGACCCAGTCACAAAAGCATGATTTGGCTATTATTCAAGTCATTAAGTCATTAAGTTTCTAACAGATCTTCTGCAATAAGTCTCCAGAATGACAGTCTTGATGGATATATATGACAGTATCTCCATGACAATGACATACCTGCCCAGTTCACATTCTTGATGTTGTAATATCTGAGGTTCAGGTGGTTCAGAAATACAGTTCAGTTCATACCAAAACTCTCCTACAGCCTCACCATAGAATATCACACTGAAATATATATCATTATAGATATTAGGGGGAGAAAGCTGTGGCACAGACATTAGAATTTTTCTTACCTTGAAGCCACAGCAATTTATTGTCTAGCAGACGGCAATCCACTGCCACAAAAAAAGGCAGTGTTCCAACCCAGCGTTAGAGGGAAATTTTGACGTTTACACAGTTCATAAGTTGTTAACCCCTTCAAGGAGATATTCATATAGCCTTATTATAGAATAATACCCCTTTCACACTGCAAAAGTAATTCGGTTCTATCCAGTTCTATCCGAATAACTTCCGGTTGCTTTCGCACTGGCAAAAAAACTTATTCGGTTATAACCAGAAGTTATCCAGATAGAAAAATCTACCTCAAGAGGTGGATTTCGTTTGGATACGATCCAGATAAGTGGCAGTGCGAAACAAAACAAGAAGTTATCCGGATAAGTTTATCACGTGGGGTGTAATGTGTATAAACACTTCAAAATGGCTCCTGTTGGTGGGGACGTTATAATAATAATTGACGATTACAAGAAAAGGATTAATAAAGTACACGAATTGTCTACGAAAAGAATGAATATTTATCGGAAGAGGAAACAGTAAATGAGTTTGTTTTTATTTTCATATTTGACAATAACGTGATAATGTGTGACTAAAAATAAAAAGTTATCTAGATAACTTGACTCGGCAGTGCGAAAGCGGCTATCCAGATCGGATTGCAGTGCGAAAGCAACCCGAACCGAATCGAAGCGAACTGAATCGGATTTTTCTCTTCGGTTATAACCAAATTCAATAATTCAGTTGTGCAGTGCGAAAGGGGTATATGTTTCATTTCTATGAAATACAAAAGACTATTAAGGATATACTAGAACTTCCTTCAATGTTTCAATGTTTGTCACAGAAATTCCCATTACATGTTAATAGAAACGCTGCTAAAATTAGAAGAAGGAGTAGTTGATCTTCAATTATGACAGTTATCAATGTCTATAGTTGAATACAACTATTTGTATACATCCAGATTCAATTTGAATCATAAACACAAACAGTTTCTTAGCAGTTCACTTCGGGGAAAAATACACTATCCAGGCTACACATCCAATGTGTTGATTGCTACGGTACTTATACTTCCTGAAAACTAAGTGAACTGCGTGTGTTAATGCTTTGAATTGTCCCTGATCGCTATATTGCACCTCAATCCAAATAATGTACGTAAATTATGTAAAAAATGTTAATTTTCAAAAAGTTATTACCCATAGATTTTAATTTGTTTTTAGGCAGACCAGTTCACCTCTTAGTTCATGACTCTTAAACAATCTAAGCGGGCAATAAAAAAAATATTGCTGTTAAACAAAAATACGAAAAAAATCTTAAATTTGAATACCTTCCTTTTCTTTTACCAACATGTGAGGGTTCAAAGGTTAAAGTATAGACATCTTTTTCTCCACCAGAAAGCGCTATAGTTGACGGACCTGATAGATCACGACCCATTATTTCAGCCTCTAGTTCTATCTGTAAACTAGTTGGGTTTTTCACTATAATATCAACCATCATCTTTTTCTGTAAAAATAAACATTTTTTATAAAAAACCTGCACAAAAACTTAGGGTAGGGTTGAACTAAAATCAACCTCATAGAAATTTTGTTGCATTTTGGCCTTCGACAAGGAAAGAATAACCACTAAGGGCTCGATGGCATTCCAGCTTAAAAAAAACAATTTTGGGCCTTAATCTTGAAAAGTTCCAGTCATCTCATTCGTCAGTCACTAAAATGGATTTTGAATCATAGTTGTGTTATCCAATCAGATTATTGTATTTCTTAAAATCTTTTTTGATTTTATGAAGCAAGGAGTCTATTTCAACCGTCTTTTCCACGATATCAAATAAAATCTATATTTTAAATCTTTTAAACAGAATTTCTTTTTAATTTATTACGTTGTTTTGTGCCTCATTTGACTATATTTAGTAGGAAACTTACCCTACAGTTACAGGTGATGTCAAGGGTTCGTTCTGGTGGGGGTGGGGCTACATTGATTTCTACAGAATACCAGATTCTGTGTCCATTATAAACAGAATCATTGGGATCAGCTGGTACCTCATCACCATCACTGTCCACTTCACTGAAAAATAATCAAATATATGGATTTTGATTTTCATATCATTCATTGTATCATCCCCATGGAGTGAATGTTAGACAGGACCATGTCCATGAATATTGGACCTAATTCTGACCCATGTAAAAGAATGAGTTATATACTGATATAAAAACACTTATTACACTTACATTTGGGGATGTTTAGAGGCTGTAAAAGCGATGACACCTTTATACGTTCCTCGTCTGGTAGGGGAGACAACTAGATCATAACTTCCTGTCTGAGCTGGTAGAACTGTGATACTATCATTACCACTGGTAAACTCTATATCTGATTCAATCTATAAATACAATAAACTGATTTTGAGAAACCGGAAGATCCCACACCCAGAAGAGATTTAACAATATTGATAACATCTTGATGACATCTTTTTAATTGTATTGTAATTCTGTCTATATCCTGTAATTTTCAGATCAATCCAATAATTAGCACCTGAGCAGATTCAAAGTTTTTCGTGCAATTTTTTTTTCTCTATACCATTTTTCAAAATTTTCAATTTTTTCAATTAAAAAGAAAAACTAGAGCCACACGTGGCACAGAGTGGGACTTTGCAAATGTAGCAAAATGCAAAAGACCCTGAAAAAATCAACCTTCCACGATAATTAGATCAAGCGCAAGAACAGTCTAAAGTTGAGAAATTTTCATTTTTTAGAAGATTTTAATACCGGAAGTGGACGTCAGACCTCACAAATGAAAGTATCAGCAGATAGCCAAGGTCAATGACTTTTAATCTTGTAAAGGAGAAGGCCTAAAAAGGTCAAGATCAAGAGATATACGCCATTAAAATTTCAAATTGCTAACGACTATAAAACCAGAAGTTGACTTAGGACAGCAAATATAAAACTATAAATAGATAGCCAATGCCAGTGACGTTTGATCCTACAAAGGTCAAGGTCAACAAAGGTCAAGGTCAAAAATTGAAAATTTTGAATTTCCAAAACCTGTTCCTTTTTTTGAACTATGAAGCGGAAACAACCAAAATTCTAAGACAAAGTGGGTCAATTCATGAGATAATTGTATGCAAAGTTCCATTTTGAACAAACGTATACTTTGCGAGTTATGCACCTGGCCAAAAATATCAATAATGAGTAATATTACCCGGATGTGCCACGCCCACCTTAATTTTTTTGCATAGGGTAATTGATATTCCAAATGTTATGTTGTGTTTCAAACTTCAAGCTTCTACATTATTCAAGTCAAAAGATATAGGTCAACAAATGTCAACAAAGGTCAAAATCGAAAAATGAAAATATCCAAATGTTAAAACCCGTTCCTTTTTTGGAACTATAAAGCTGAAACAACTGAGTTGTTAACACAAACTGGCCAAAAGGATGAGGTAATTGTGTGCAAAGTCCCTTTTATAACAAACGTATCCTATGCGAGTTATGCCCCAGCCCCAAAATGTAAACAATTAGTAATTCAACCCGGATGTGCCACGCCCATCCCAATTTTTTTGCCATAGGTGAATTCATTATCAAAGTGTCTAGTTGTATTCCAAATATCAAGGTTCTCCATAAAATAGGTCATAAGATATACATACACCAAGCTCAAAAAGACACAAACATGGTAAAACAAAACTCAAATTTGAAAAAATCACGAATTTCAATTTTGCTTTAAAAAAGCAATTGTTATATATCTATGTAAAGTGCATGAGAAGAACATCAGGAAACCGAAAAAATTAACCCTCTAGGTTAATTAGGTCACGTGTTAGAGCAGTCCAAAGTTGCGAATTTGGCTTTTTACGGATAGCTATAAAACCGGAAGTACATGTCTGGGGTCAAAGGTCAAAGTATCAAATGATAGCCAAGGTCAATGACCTTTGAACCTACAAAGGTCAAGGTCATCAAAGGTCAAGGTCAAGAGATACAAGCCTTCAAAAATTGAAAAAATTCGACCGGAAGTTGCAAAAAAGCATAAGTCAAATTCAAAAATCCATTTCCAACATTTTTGTCGCCATCGACTAAAGTATACACCAACATAAAAATTTGACCTATCCCATTCTCCCCCGAAGCCCCATTTTGAGTTTTATGAAAAAGTATCAAATCAAGATGGCGACCGAAGTATTTTTTTCGGACTAAATTTTATTTTAAAATCGGCCATAGAATTAAGATTAATAACGATATACATAATTTCGTTGAAATATTTCAATCACACCGGAAGTTATTCAACCGGAAGTGAAAATCGATTTTCCACTTTAACCGGAAGTGACGCAAAAATTTTGAATACGTCAAATGGTTTACATTAGTGACATGCATCTTTTATCAAAATTTCAGATTAATCCGAAAAAAACTGAAAAATGGTACAAAAATTTCGAAAATCGGCCAAAAAATGTCTGCGAAAAATTTTCGAATTTTGAAATTTTGAAACTGCTATTCTTTCAGATTTTAACAGTAGATTCCAAAAATGCAAACCCAAAGAAAATCGACCGAAAAATACGACTTCTAGAGCCGATTATCTATTGTTGCACATATTGAACTGTGGCACTTCCGGTTGTGCAAAAATGTTTCAATTTATATTTATGCACAACGTCGCCTATATCTAAGGTTCGTGAATGTTGAATGGTTGCTGCAACTACTGCAGTCTAAGCTCAGGAAGGTGTGTAAAAATCGAAAAAAAAAAAAAAAAAAAAAAAAAAAATGGACATTTCGATAACAAACTGGGACTTTGCTTTCAGCACAATAATAATAGATTGCACAACAACAAAACACAACACAACACAAACACAAACCACAACACAACACAAAACAACACACAACAACACAAAACAACACACCACACAAAACAAAAACAAAACAATAACAAAACAATAACATAACAATTACATAACAATTACATAACATAACAATTACATAACAATAACATCAATAACATAACAATAACAATTACTTACATAAAATGTTTGTCTTTTCTTTGTAGCATTAGGTACTTGAATATTGAACACAATACTGAAAGAGACATTTTTAATATTGTTATCTAAATGGACATCTGAAAAGAAAATTTGTATCCCTGTCCTTGCAATATCTTAAGCATTGCAGAGATTTTAGTGTTGCAAATCATAAGTAGTCCAGAAACATACTGAGCAATATATATTTTATGGAAAACTGTTTAATAAGCTTATTAGAAGACAAACCATTCGACTGAGCTGTAAATAGGTATAAAATTTGGGAAAGATATTTACCATGAATTGTCAAGAAGTTTGGCCAAGGACCTGATGGCAGACAGGATCCTATTGATCCTATTACCTTTGTAAAAAAAAAAATTTCGTTTTCTCTTTTTAATGAGAAATAAAGAGTAAAATTATCCCATATGAAAAGAAGACCAACCTCTTCCTGGCCTCACATTCTATTTTGAGATGATCTTCAGCAAGTGGTTTTTCTGGTTTACCTTGTAGAACAAATACATGGTCTGTGCCATCTTCTATATTAGATAGAATTAGTTTACCCTGTAATATATAATATACTAAATGATTTACTACATCAGTCACTATAGGTTTATAACACCTACAAGTCATTATACAAGAGACAAGACTACTGCAGTGTACTATGGCATTTGTATTTTTCTTTAATTGTAAATGGACACACAATTGAATTTTTCTTTTGAAAAGAACTGCTAAAACAGTCCCTTAAATTCAGGTATACCAGATTTAAAATATAATAGAAAAATCCAGTCAATCCAGTGTTTAAATAATAAATAGAAGTTTATATCCATAAAACTGTTGTTTCTTAAGATATATGATTGACAAGTTTCTCTTACCTCTACATTTGTCTCATAAAGAGGTTTAAACACCAGGGGATATTGAGCTGTTTGGTAAGCTTTAGCTAGATGAGACTTTGGTCCAGAAAATCCTTCCCCTATAATCTCAGCTCGTAATGGCCAATCATGGTTTGTCATATTGACCTGGAAAATAAAATCAATTTAGAAACTAAATCAACATCATAATATTTTATTAATCTGTATAAACAGTTTACACCCAACTATTCATCAAGATAATGAAATCAATTAATACCCATAAATATTCAACTACTCAGCTCTACCTTGAAAAGTTCTGCTATCCCATTGCAACATATCCTGAGGTCTTATTCTTGAAAACTTAAACAAAGAACAGCCCTTCCAAAGATATGGATCAAAATGATAATAAAATGTATTATTAGTAAACCGAGTCACAATAAAATATTAAATGCATAAATTTGTTTCAGAGCTCTGAATATCATCAAAACTTACAATCGGTATGTGCTGAGTGACAGATTGATTGACAGGGACAGATAACTCTAATTCAGCCATACTTCCGTCTGGGTTGACAGTGCATTCAAGTTGATATACACGAATATCGTCAGTGGACCTGAGAGTTATCTGTGCTGGATAATGTCCAGCAGCACCAGCTTTAAATACGATTGGTAGTTCAACAATACCATCGTCCAATCGCATACCTGCAATTATAGATCATATAAGCATCATTCAAGACATACGACAAACGTCATTTCTTTAAAATGAAGATTTAGTAATGAATTTGTAAGGTATGATGAAAACAGGCACCTTTGATTAGACTCTTTGTACCAAATATGACTAATAGAATAGCTCAATCTATGTAGGCCAACTATGATAACCAATCATTTGAACATAGAGCAAAAGTCTAAAAAATAAACATAATCTTACTGCTAAATGATTTACAACAAACATCACTATTTTACATGTATGAAAAGAATTATTTACAGTTGAATTCTCTGAAGTTATTGTAAGTAGACTTACCATGGGGTATTCTAGTGTTAGAAGGAGCGCTGTGGGCACGGGCATCTAGTGGACTTGGCATTGAAACATGTGATGGTACTTTATAAAATTCAGAATCCACCTCGACAGAATATTTTGTTAATTGGTTAAGTTTTGATTTGGTTTTCTTCAAGTTTTGTGAAGTAGACAACATTTTAACTGTTTTGACAGCTACACTAGAACTTGTTAATGTGCCTGTTGCACTGCGTCGCTGTATTTCTAGATCACTCATTCTCTGAAAAGGAACGAGTAAAATGTTACCTTCCTGACATATATCAATAAAAAAAAGTGAAATACACCCTATACGAAATTTTGGAAGAATAGACACATGAAATCAGCGTTTTTCTCAAACCAAGTTTTTTTCTTTTGAGCTTCATGTAAATGGACCCAGTTGTAAATGGACACAGATAATCCAGGAAAGAATAATGCCAAAAGGTTTGACTAAAGACCAGCTTATAGACAGGATCCTAAGGAACATAAGTAAATTTTTGGTCAAATATGATTGTTTTTCTTTCTTTGTTTTGAACCACATGTCAGATAACCCAGCTGTATATGGGTATGGATTAACACGAATAGATCAATGCCAAGACATTTGGTTAAGGAACCTAATCTGTTATCCTATATGTATGTTTCTATCTTGACTAATAATAATCAGTTACCTGTTGAGCAGCGAGTATTAAAGCTCGTTCTTTAGCCATGTTGGTCACTGGTATTAATAATGTTTCTTTCAATGTTTGTCCTGAATCACATTTCCAGAATACTACATTATCTTCTGATCCAATTGATCCACGACGACTGCCTCGACTATGTCCTGGAATATAAAAATAAACAAAATGATAGGAGAGTTCACTTTAAAGATCATGATGGGTTATCTTTCTTGATACATGCCATCATATATATCTGTCTTATTTGTCATACAGTGTATATTTTCTTTTTAAAATGTTTACTTTGATCAGCCAGTTAGAGGCAAATGTTTGACTTGAATATTACAGACGCTGTAAGCTTTCTGATACTTTGTCATACTTTTAGCAAACCCTTTATACTTTTCAAAATGTATGAGACACTACAATTAATAAACTTGATAGTTTTATGATCTTTTTGTATCATAAAAAATGGAGCATAAAATCCTTCTTACGCATCTTTTTAGGACAATAAAGACAAGCAACCAAATGCTGTGAGCAATTATGAAATTTTGTCAGAAAGCATGTCTTATCTCCCTTGACCTTTGCTAGGTTCCTGTGATGGATCTTTTGGTGAGTAAGTAAGCATGAAGAAAACAATTTAACCTATATTGGGATCCTGCGATGGATATTTGGATAAGTTAGCATGCTCCTGATCGAAAAAATCTATGAATTTTTGGCCTAATGTAATCACATTCCGTGAGCAATGAGTAAGCAAGCATGGTCCTGAACAACAAAATCTACAAACCAGTGATAACAGCACTACTGACTCTAACTGTATGTTGATTGGGTATAAATGGTAGAGGTGAGGGAAGGGGTAACGTGGCTTTCGCTTCTATAGAATATAAAAACTCTCCTATATCATCATTGAGGAATACCACTGAACATTGACGATCTCCTGTGAAGAAGGGCAAGAAATCCACCTCGACTTCAGCTGTCTGACCTGGTCCTAGATACACAGACTTTACTGGTAGTGAAAACGCACTTAACAATTGTGCAGAGTCTGAAAAAAATAGAAAATATGCAGTATTACAACGACAGTGTTGAATACATAATTAATGTTGAATAATTTGAATGATTTCTTATCTGTTTTCTAAAAAAGGCTTTTTTGGGGCTATTTTTCAGCCATTTTCTATTTTAATGTTAAGCTAAGATCCTACACCTTCATGCTCTAAAGGGAATTACAGTACTGCTCCTGTAAAATATTGGAATGGTCGCGAGGATATATGCTCCAGTCATTTCACCTGATGATGACCATGTAAATTGTTGAAACGTTGTGTATAATTAAACTCAGATGTAATTGTTTTCCATTATTTACCTGTGTTATTCTGCTTGCTGAATTCCTCGGTGTCAGTAATAATTGGGGGAGGAGGGGTGGGTGGGGTATCAGGTCGATTCTGGCCATGATTGGTCTTTGATTTCACTCGTTTCTTCTTGCGTTCTTTAGTTCGTAGTAAGACTGAGGCTGGGATAGATTGGTTAGGATCCAGTTGATCACCTCTAGTTTCTAGCAGAATAATTTTAAATTCTCCGCCATCGTTAAAAGGATTGCTGACATTTAGATTTATTCTCTCCAACTCATAACATGGTGACTCCACTTTTACTATCATCTGGAATAAAATACAATGATAAAATATTTTCACTGTTAAAAACATCAATTGTGGAGTAAATATATGGTTTTAGCTTAAATGTTGAATGAAAGAATCGGAAAGTCTAATTTTGGGAGTAAAATGGATTCAATTTCTATCATTGAACAAAAAACACAAGGGAATATATCACAGTATAACTATAGTTTATTATAAAATATCTATAGGTATAAAACCCTTCTTTAATAACTTATCAATTTCTATCATATTTAACTAAAATCCAAATGTCCTGAGCTTAGCTAAACAAATTTTAAGTGCTTGATATTTAATACGAATGTTAATGGGGCACTGTCAAAAACTTGAGAAATACTTTGCAGACTTGTTAACTCTAAAAAAAAGTCACATGAAAATACTTTTCAAGAAGTATTTAAGGCGATATCCAATTTATTTTATTTTTTGGTATTAAAATGTTAAAATGCAACACTCTTAAATTGTTAGTAAAACAGACTGCAGTTTAACCCTCTCAACCCTAGCTGCAGGTTTACCGGCCAGACACTAATGCAATATAGACCCGAGCAGCCGGTATACCGGCCGTTACTAAGTGACATCATACAACGTTAACGTCATACGCTTTTACTTTTATTACTTGGAGTTCAGGGTATATGATGTTATATTACATTTACACTCAGGGTTCAAAGGTTGAACAAGAAATGTTAAATAACGTTATATTAAAATAACAATACATTCACAAAATATGTTAATAAAACAATATCAATATCTGAAACTCATAATATAATCCAAAATATTCAAATGCTCTTCACAAAAACTTTATTCTGTATGATTTTAGTGTGACAGTCATCAGAACGGTCCAAAAAAAAGGTCGATTTTGAGTCTGGTTTCATAACTGAATGAAATTACCGTATTTCTCAGGCTACAGAATGATTAAACAAGTAGAGTTCAAAAGTATATTGCCCAAAAAGAATACTAACAGATCAAACAACAGTCAAAATACAAACAGATTATTGTTATAAAACTTGTAAGTTGGTAAATCAACATAAATTATATAAAAATTTAAAGTTTGATTTTAGATATAAACAAAACAGTGCACAAAACATCACAATTATAAATGAGTAAAGATATTTGTTTACATTATGAACTTTTTAAATATAAATACAAGCATTCAGATTTAGTCTAAGAATTGTAAGGTGTCATTGGGTAGCTTTCCTGTGTCATATTTGAAAATTTGCAATTTTGAATGGAATTGGACTAATACATCCAATCAGTTAGAACAGGGGAATACAGATATATTCTTCATATTTGTTTGAAAAACTGGAAAGGTGACATATTAAAAGAGAAAATCGATACAAAAGCCAATTGTGTCTATATCATGTCTAGACCCATACATCGTGTATGAGTTTTTTCCATTGTCTACAGTATACATGATCTCTCACAGTACACAGTTCAAGAATCTCGTCTATTTCCAACCTTTATTTCTTGAACCCAATTTAGTGATCATTTCTATTTATTACAATTCATTGCAAAAAGACAGCTTGTGTTTATATTCTGAATTGTTCCGAAATGTGAGCAAATATGTAACTAAAGACCTAAAGACAAACCTGGTAGTTATTTGTAGGCTATAAAATAAGAATCGTGAGAAACTACATGCAGTATGAGGAATCTTAGTTAGGATGTTTCTTTAAATCAGCCCTCTACATTAAAAGCTTTCTTATTTGACTTAATACAAAAACTCAAGTAAAGAGCAGAGATAGTTAATTAAAGTAGAACTCTACTGGTACATTTATACAAAAAACAAGAAACTAGATTCTAAAAAAACTTTAAAATTGCAATGGAGTCAAAATTCCCAAAAGCTATGTCAGGAAAAAGACTGTCATAGATGAATTCCAAGCTGTTACAGAATGCTTGACTGGCACATTTAAAGAACAAAATACTTCAAGCAGGATTCTAAGGAAAATACCTTATAAGTGCAAAAGAGTGCAAGGTTCCCAAACAATGACAGGAACAACTCTTATAGACAAAGTACATATCTCTACAGAAAAGTCACTAAAAGTGCAGTAGAGTGCGAGTTTCCCAAAACTATAACAGAAAGCAGCCTCATAAAGACGAATTCCAAGGTGTTCTTACATGAACATTTAAAAAAAAACAACTTACCAGAGGAGTAATGTTATCTATTTTGGTATGGAGGTTAAAAGTCATAGTTGATCCAGTGGTTGAGCCATGTCGCCGACCAACCAGAACCAAGACAGCTTCCGCGGGCCGTAGAAATCGACTGACATATTCCACTGTTAGTGGGTAGGTAGATTTTGGTGCCACTGTAATATGGTCACCTTTTGGTATATAAAAATCACGAGCATCCCGTCCTGCCAGGAATGCATGGTAACTCAATGATTTATTGCTGGAATTATGAACTTTCACCTGGAAAAAAATGGTGTTCTGTGTAGACTGTATCATCTACTGTTACGAACTTCGTCTTATACCTTGACTGCGATAGACACCTTTCTTGTAATGCAGCTATTGATTGGATTGTATGCAGGCGAATACAGCCAATCGTATCCCTGGACAGAAAGTCTGTAAGTAAACATTATAGCTTATTGTTTACAGTCTCTCTGTCGAGGACTCTGATTGGCTGATTTCACTAAGGTACAATCTAACCAAATCAATGCATTTACAAACTTTTGTGATACAAGAAAAGTGGCTATTGCAGTCAAGGTATAAGATAAGGTTCTGAATAGCTTGTCATTGAGAAGATGAAGATGAAGATGAAGATTTCATGACAAGAATCCGATTTGGCTAATGACAATGAATGATGCTACATAGTGATGATAGAAATTGTAGTTAGTTTCTATCTCTTAGGTTTGGTAATTATAACATACTTATTATGTATTATACTTATTATACAACTTACAAATGACTAAATGCTTTCATTCCTTCTGAGATAAAATCAATGAAACAAAAGTCAATGAACAAAATTTTAACTTGAGGATCTCAAAGTGAAGTTTTTGTAGCTTCTAGCTTGAAATACTTAAAACTGCATGCCATCATGTAGAACAGTTTAATTAATTATTGGCCCACCAATAATTCCACATAAGAGAGGAGTTACAGGTACATATATGAAATACTATGTCCACTTAAAAATGTCAAGTATTGGTCAATACAGCAATTCTCAAATTTGATGTTTTAAATGGTTCCTACTACACCACTTAAATGCAGGCCCGAAGCCAGGTCCAGGGCAGGCCCCCATAAGAAAATTTTGGCTCCCCTGAAACATTAAGATGACTTAATGACTTGTTGAGTCTCTATAGTTGAGTCCCACTTCAAAAAATTTGATCTCCCCTGAGACCCTGGGCTAGCTGCGGGCCTGCTTAAATAAATGAATGCAAACTAAAAAAGGGGAATAGATAAAATATCACACATAATAATCTTTAAAGTAGATAGAAGGCCATACCTGTCTGGTGACTGTAGAATGGAGTGAGCCAGTAAAATCAACACTATCTTTAGGAAGATACTGCGGTAGTTTCTGGTAAAGATGCATACATAATAACATTAAACTGATGGGATTAGGGTCTGTGATATCAATCGCCTGTAATATTAAAATACAACATTAAATAAGAATACAGAAGAAAGTATTAAAAGTTCTGGGAAGTATTTATATAAAAAAACATGAATGAGATTCACATTTTGCAATGAGTCGGATGTGTAACATAATGTATTTAAAAGGAAGTCTTTTTGAGCTTCAAGAGTGACCATTAACACAAGCAGTCTCTAGCCAACAGATCCGAGAGGCCAGTGCTGTGATCATCATCTAACAACCTCTCGAAAGGATATTAGCGCTAGAATGTTCAAGTCTTATTTTCTAACACAGTTTCTATGATATCCTAGTGCTTAGATCCTTTTGAGAATCTTTATAATCTTCAAGTCCTATCTCTTGGCTAGCAAACAAGAGCCCAATATGCTAAGCACCATAATCCTTTATAAATTGCATCAAAATAAACTCACCTGTATATCATATTCAATTCCAGCAAATTTCATAGCGTTGACAACTTTTAGTGCATTATGTAAACATTGTTCTGCTGTATTTGGATGAGTGTACATATCATTGAGATACTCTGGTATCTGAAAAAAACAATGAAATGAATTTAACAGAGTTCAACACTCTTTCCACACATTTTTTGGTTTATTATAACAGAAATGCAATTGCATAGCATACACCCACACATATTTCCAAAATGTCGAGCTTGGAATATAGACCTAGCTGGTTGCAGACATGGTCTTATATGGGTAAAGTTATGTACATTTGGACATTGCTTTAAACTTAAACCTATTAGTTAAATAAATTTGTTTTGATCCTTTGTTGGATGTTGAAAGGCTACCTCATGCAGTGTGATACAAAACTAATAATTTTGCTTAGATACCTGGACCAGTTTAATCATTCTTTAATAATTTCCAATAGTCAAGAGTTCTTGAAATGATATCTAAGCAATGTTTAGAATCAGATAAAACTAAAGATTCCGAGGACCTCTGTTGATATCTGATTAACTTACCAAGAAAGGAAGATGAGCTCCTAACACTGCACCTAGAACTAAACCATCCAATAGATCCATATCATAGTTTACAATCCATCTTGATGCTGGTACTCCTCCTAAATAATCAAAATAAATATCTCATAATATAACTCAAACTATTTCATACAGGCAGCATTAGTATAAGCGAAACATGTTAATAAACGGAAAACTGGTATATGGATGCAGCGCTTCAAATTTCAGTCTAAAACAATCGCTTTCAACTTAACGTTTTAGTCGTAGAAAAGAAGCAAATGTAAGCTAACCCTGTCTAACTAGTTCCAACTGATACAGTGATTATTTTGATGTTCTTGGTGCTCTGGCTCAAAAGCTAATGATGTAAGCTCATTCTTGATGAAGACTTTACTAGTTTACCGTTAAAATATTTTCAAATACATGATCCTTAAGTTCATAACATCTGTCATATTCTAAGAACATCAATAATTTAGAAAAATTTCATATAACATATGTGTTGAATACAATGATTCTAAAGCATTGTTACCTTTTTTACAATTGAGCCAGGTTTTGTGTCGACTCTGTTCATAATGATGGTTTAACCAGGTGAGAAGGATTCTCTCTCCTACCCCATAGATATTACTACATAGGGGGTCAGGGTTTATCTGGGGTATGGGTACTTTAGGGTCAGGATTAGCAATGGTCTTTAATGTTCTTGGTGTTACTTTAGCTAACACTAGACACTGAAATATTGAAAATGTATTTACAGTCTGGATAAACAAAAAAAGACTTTTTGACCTTTCTCGATCGGTCACTCATTGGAATTCTGCTGGTAATTCTCTTCTAATTTAGCTAATTATGAATTAATTGTGGACATGTGAAAAAAACTGGTATTTTTCCAAGTCATAAGAACACCTCTACTTTCTATTCATTTAAGTATTAGCATTTTCATTTTCATAATTGAAAATAAGGGAACCCATCTTTAATCCAAATCAAAAATATCCCTTTCACACATTTCATGCAAACTTCATATTTCATTCTTTTCAAAATAACTACATGACAATATATCTGAACACCAACCTTCACAACTTGAAGTAATAAATCAGTCCAGGCTCGTTTTGACAAATTCTCAAAAATCTCATCGTCTACAATTTCATCGGTATTTACAATATTATCAGCTTCCATCATCTTCCCTTCCAGGATTAATTCCTGTTTTAACTCTAACTGTAGATGTTTCCACAGACAGTAATCCTGATATTCCATCAGATGTTCTGCTTTTATACAAGCCACACTTCCTCCCTGACATCTGTTAATTTAATTTCAATAATTAAAAATTAGTAATTTCAATTTCATTCAGTAATGTTAATGATGTTTTATTTGATATTGAAACGATCTTAAAAACATAACAATATGGCAATGAAAGAAGACAAAATGGCGGATCCTCAACATCGATTTGCAGTATTTTCGAAGGGAAAAAAACTCAAAATTTAATTCACTGTGTATAGTACGCACCCCTTACCCCATTTTGGGGTAAAAAACTGTGCATTATATTTGGAAATATACGGTACTAGTGAATATAAGACATGCATAATATATCATATAGTAATATGTTTCTATAATCATACAGAAACAAAATTACATTTTATTTAATAGTAATGAATCCCCTCAAAAAAGTTATAAATACTAAAACATAAACATCCCCATGTCACCCCCCATTAGCAACAGTACAATAAGACCAAAGCCTATAAGCCAACACCCAAGAACAATATCATTCAAGCTCATAACCTTTGACATGATGATGTCATCATTTGACAATTTCATGTGAGATCCTTAAATGTAATGTATCCCTTTAAAACTTACCTGATGAAAGTAAGAAGAGTGTTATGCTGCCAGTGAATTTGTTTGACACGTTCAATAGGATCAGCTGGTAACGAGTTATTGAGAGGTATACCAGGTACTGGACGACCAGACAGATGTGTTATCATATCATAGATTGTTTTCACGTCTTTTTTAACATTATTATTATCACACACGTTAGATTTGTTGTTTCTTTTATCATCATTGGTCTTCTTACTGATCAATCTACAATTAAAATATCAGATTTTTACAGAAATGATATCATAAGTTTTGTGGACTCTCTGAATGAGATATTAGGTTGACAAACCTAAATACCAAAATAACATTATTACCTCTCAAAAGAGATTTTGACAAACTCAACTATCAAAAATAAATATTAGTAGCTATGAGGACTGGAATATATCTTTGGTTGACAACCAACACACAAAACTTACCCTTGAAGCCCTGTACATCTGAAAGTATTATTTGCTTGACAAAACTAAAACTAGTATAACATTATTAAATATGTGAACTTTGTGAAAGGGATGTTGAGTTGAAATAAAAACAACTCTTTGATCTCTTGGAAGTCATAACAGGAGTATTCTAAAGTCAAGTTGAAAGGAAAAGAGTTCTGATATGAAAGTTTTTTTTTTTATGTGTTTTAGATACTACAAGTAAGCACTCACTTTCTCAGAGATTCTGGGATAAGTATAGGAAAAGGGCCACCAGGCCAGCCATTGGATGAGAACCAGCGCTGAACAGCCAAAAAAACATCAGTATGATACAATCCTTCCTCTGTGTCTTCGTCAGGGAACATGGCCGACCCGACTGACTGCGAGG